TTTTAATACGTTTCTGCAGGCCGTCACTCTATTGGTGGTTTTTTGCTGTTGATGTTAATAAACAAGTGAAATCAGGACCCCAATGTCTAACGTTTGGAAGCCATAGTATTACATGTACTCTTATATATACTGGTACTTTTTAATTTAAATTTATCACAAATGTAGAGTACAAATGTCAATGCTAGATATAACTTCTTGCTTTACGGATGCTATACCGTGTTATCTCATTCAATCGACCAGCATCATATGAAAATACAATTTATATTCATATATAAATTTGTAAAACATTTCTTGTTGTGCTCAGAAGAAAAAAATGACAGTTTACATTTTTTTAGAAAATGGTTCTCATTAATATTACATAAATACAAAATAGAATGAGACGTGCATATACGCTTTGTCATTTTGACATTACTTTTGATATCATATCCCATGCTTCGAGTATTGCTATATAGTATTGACAAAGTTGTATCATATTTGAAAGTGTGTGTGCTATTATAAACATTGTTTCAATGAATAATCAATATTATTACATAGAAATAGTTTCATGATCGATGGGTGTGCGATATATCTATGAACGTGCATCACTAGTTTTGTAGTTCAATGGACTATTGGCCCGGTTATTAGCGTTTTCAAAATACAATGTATTGTATGGTTTAAAACTCATTTGCTACCAGCTGCTTGTCCAATTAGTAGAAAACATTAGGTAATTTAAAGCAAATTAAACGATTATACTTACAGTACACTGTAATGGGTACACTATTTGAATTAACATCTCCAGTGACTTGTGAATTCCTTGCTTTACATTTATACTCTGCTTGGTTATCTTCAGCTCTTGTTGTTATTGTTATTTGTTGTTCTGATATCTTGCCATTGTAGTCACCATTAGTTTCAGTTAGAGACCCAATATTGATATTATCATCGTTATCATATATCCTAATATTATTCCTGTACCACAGTATAGTAGCTGATGGGTTACTAGTTGTCGTTGTACAGGTTAACAGTAAATAACTACCACTGGTGACAGCACCAGTATAACCAGACAAACTAGCACTATCAGGTTTAACTGAAAATAAAATAATTCAAACAAAGTTTAGGAGAGAGGGTGACTTATCAGTAACCAGAAACCATCATTGTATTAGATAAACATATATTCAAAATGTTCAAATCGTCTTTTTAACACTGCGTGATATTTACTGCAAAGTCTCATTTGGTGTACATTTTAAAAGAAAATGTGTAGGTCCCGGTCAGGGGTTTCTCCTTGTGTGCATGGCCGGTAATTGTAACCGGTCGCCTGGCAAGCGCAAAAGATCATTTTATTGTGTATTAAATTGTTTCTCGGTTTCTTGACAGTTTAAAAGTAGAGACAAGGTCGCAAAAAGAAAGGACACAAGCATAGGGACATTGGCTATTTTTTTAATTTTACCATTATAAAATGTGTTATGTTTCTAACCAAAATTCCATTTGGAACGTACACAGATTACGCATCTTTTATTTTGTCTGGATTTCATTATGTGGCTAAATAATTGCTATAAATTGATAATTGAAATATATTATTTTACCATATACATATCATGCTTTATTATAGATTGACACTTTCAAATCATATTTTAGGATCTGCATACGCCCAAGAAATTTGGACACAACACTTCTATAAACAGTCGAACGTAATTACCGTTGCATTTTAAATTTAAATTTACTTTACAACGGTCTATTTATTTTTGTGTTTTGCACTTTTTGAATGAAAATAATATTGTATGAAATTAATGGTTTTGTTTATCATCGTTATCATCTATTTTATTATTGTTCCTGTAATTTGTTTGGCGACCGAATCGTATAATTGTTATCAGGGCTAGATCATTAGTGTTATGTTCTTTATTTACAAAAATATAAAATTGTGCATTCAAATAACGTATTGTAAATATCGGGTATTGAGATAAGTAATGACCATTTGGTGTTTCGGAGACTACATAAGTTTCGGATACTACAAATTAGTTTGTTTCATCAAATTCTATATAAAATATTAGATTATTTAAACTATTAGACATAGTAGGTATACACTTCTCTATACCTCCAACATATAAGAAATTTAATGTTGTATCTTGAGTAGTTTTGATGTAGTAATGCTTCCTAAATGACGTCGACCGTTTTGTACATTACCAGTTTGTCACATATGATCGATATGTATGATGGACACTATATCATATTGATATGATTTGTCATTACACACTAATAACTATTTAGAAAATTGATAAATAGTGGCAATAAATGTTGCTTATCAATCTCATAATAATTCATTAAAGATGTAAACATATGTCATATGAAACTAGATGCTACACCCAAATAAGAGTACAACTGTAAGTCCCTCTATTTATTGACAATGTTTTGAGTAAAAGCTTGCAATATTCTGAACACATTGAGTACACCAACATAATTTTCAAAATGCGCCATTTTATCCCTAATATTTGTAGTGTAAAGTAATTAATTCACATACATAGAAATACATTTGTGTAACAATAGCAACAAACCACAATTTATATAATTGTACATATTCCCATGTCATTTATAACAGTGTGCACACTTATTTATACATAATTTGATTGCGGAATTACATGGTATAGTAATGAAAGCTTATTATTCATAAATAATCATATCAACTTCTCATTATAACATATAATATGGTTAAATCAGGGTTCGAAATTAACAAATTGATTGGAAGATTGATGGGGCAACCAAAATAATATTGGGTATTCTATCAGATTATATATTAACTGGATGCTTAAAAAAAGTGTCAATAGTAATAAATAAATTATAATTTTGCTCAATTTGTGTTACACACCCATAATTTGGAGACAAAATTAAAGTATTAATATTTTGTAAATTTCTAGTAGTTCGTTGGGCTACTAATTTTGAAAAAATAGTAGCCAAGGACAAGATTTGGTAGTCCGTATGCCTGGATTTACTGATAACTCCGAACGCTAAACGTTCAAATCCAACTATGGGGTGATCATTAAATATGGTCTACCCCCTGCCCTAGAAAGCTGATTCATCTGGCGGCCTAAATTTATTTACTAAAAAACGCTACTTTGTGGGAATCTTGGTTAAGATCCGCAGGTGAATGTCTTTTGATCGGGGCTGGGTAACGCTAGAATAACGCATTGTGTCATTAGGCCACCATGTCTTACACACACCCCACTGTCAGATTATTATTATTATTATTAAAAATTGAAATACAAAAATTAAGTTATATTCTATATGAATTCTTGTAATGTATATGCTGAAAATTTGAATTTTGCGCGGTATTTCAAAATTTGTTGACGTCATATAACGACGTTCATTGCTTCTATTTATTCCATCTCGGTAATCCTATCTCAAGTTGTGTATGACATATATACGTGAATTGCATTAAATTTTTCATTTAACTGGAAATGTGTCATTATATTGCGTTCTAATTAGGTCCCAGTGCAGTTTGCATTGCACAACAATTCTTTCTTCGGGTCGATTAGTCTGTATATCAACATTGGCATGGTTCTATAACACAATATAATAATAACTAGCAAAATACTGTACTAATTACTCACAATTAACTGTCAGAACGGCTGATTTTGAGTCACCAGATCCAGCACCATTGTCAGCAATACAAGTATATGTACCATAGTCAGACTTCTCAATATTAAATATTGTCAATGATCCATCAGTCACTGCATATCTACCATCTATATCAATATCATCACTGTCTTTCTGCCATGTATATGTAACA